TTTCTTGGTCATCTATCCGAATTAAGGATTCTTATTTTGAGAGAAAATAACTTCAATGGTTCTATTCCGAAGCAGTTGTGCCAATTAAGTAATGTGAGTTTGATAGATTTATCCGGTAACTCTAACTCTATCTCTGGTCCAATACCTGGTTGCCTCCAAAATATTATAAGCCCTATCAACCCTGTTTTCACAGAAGAAACAGTTCTCTTATATGAGAGTGCCTCCCAGTACTATCAGAGTGTTATGTTCAGTATGATTTACTATTATGGTTGGAAATATAAAAAATACAAGACGTTCAGTTTACAATAAAAACTCACTCTCACTCCTACAAGGGTCACATTCTTGATTTGATGGTGGGACTGGATCTGTCATGTAACAAACTAGTTGGTGAAATCCCAAAAGAACTAGGGTTGTTGACCCAGATTCACTCTTTGAACCTGTCTCACAATCGGTTGACAGGAACCATTCCGAGGCAATTCTCAAATCTTGAGAATATAGAGAGCTTGGACCTCTCTTACAATGGTTTGAGTGGCGAAGTTCCATCAAAACTAATTAAGTCGAATTATGTTGCTTAGTTTGATGTTTCTTACAACAATCTATCAGGAAGACTCCCAGATATGAAAACACAGTTTAGTACCTTTACCAATGAGAGCTATGAAGGGAATCCACTTCTTTGTGGACCACCACTAGAGAAGAAATGCACGTCTATATCACAGGCGACCGATCCATCAGGTAAAGAAGGCCTTGATAAATGGTATGAGATTGATATGGTATCCTTCTACGGAAGTTGTGGTGCGACAAGGGTTGTGTTCCTGTTGGGATTTGTTGGTGTTGTTTACATCAATCCTTATTGGCGTAGAAGGTGCTAGACTTGGTTGAGGAATGTATGTATACATTCTATTACTTCCTTGATGATTCAGTAAGGAAGCTCTCGATGCTCTTTCGTAAATAGTTGTGTGATTTATGTATTTATATTTTTCTGTTATAAATAAATGTATAACAAGACTCTGGGTAAAAGAAAAGTTTGCTTTATGGTAGCAAAAATGGAAGTATTGTGATTTGTGTTGCTTACCGTTATTATACTTGACTTGCTTATGTCCAAACTCCAACCGCTAAACCAGTGCTGTTGCCGGTCTCGCCACCAGGCTACCCAATACGTCCCCCGTGCAACATCACTTCACTTCTTCGGTACATAAGATGTGAGCTAATAATATTATGGAAGGGATGATAATCAATAATCGAAGAAATTTCAACATCATTTCCCTTTATTCACTTCATAACATATTCATATGTAATCATTATATAAACCTGTTAACTACAAAATTTAGGTTTTACATGAGAACTTCAAAGTTTGTTGGAAATTCAATAAATATTTATATCGTGCTATAATTAGTATTAGGACAGTGATTCATACTCTAATATAATACAAATTGTACCGGACAAAAGGACAAGTAGAAGGAGTAATTGATAATGAAGTAGTGTTGGATTCAAATTGACTTTTGACTTTACAGTGGGTTACACATATTATGTAATATTCTCGGTAAAATGTGTACTTACAGGAAAACCAACTTTACGTATAGTATTAGTAAATAGGGGGTCCGTTCACTGTGTTTTTGCTTTGTCTAATTTCACTCGTCTGATATAGAGCAATCAAATAAGATGTTAGATTGTGAATGATGATTTTTGACACTGCCAAGCTTACTTGGTTACTTAAGCATAACCACGTAAGAAAATTAATATTGTTAATTTGCTATGACGAGTATGACTTCAACTTCCAAATTATACCTCTATCATAGCATCTGGTTTTTAAACAACCGGGTAACAAAATGGGGTACCATTTGTTAACTAGCTCGGGCGCATGTTTGTTTTAATTAGTACCCGTTTTTCCTATTTTTCTATTACAATTTAGAGGGTGTTATGAACGTTTTCATAGTAGTGTTTTAAACAAATCATATGATGCATATGATCAAGATCTGGACTCCAAATGTAACAAGTAAAACTCACACACCTTCCTCATATTTAGTGAGGTTTGAACCCCTGACTTCCTAGGAAGCCAAAGACTACGATTAGGGGTGAGCAGCGGAATCGGGTACCCGTTTGTGGAACCGGAACCGCCGGTTCCGGAACCGAAACCGATATGAGTGGTTCCGGTTCCTAAAATACGGAACCGATTGAGAACGGTTCCGGTTCTCAGTTTTTCGGAACCGTTACCCGCCGGGTACCCGGAACCGGCGGTTGTTTTTCAATAAAAAAAATAATTGATTTTTTTCAATACCAAATTTATATTAAGTTACATCTTCAAATGACGCGGTCATCTTCATTTTTCATCTACTTTCTAGTTCTACTAAACTACAGTTCGTAGTATGTAATCGTTAAGTTTTGAAMAWTTAMAATTATAGTATATAATCGTTAAACTTTGAACATTTTCTATTAGTCTATTATGGTTTGTAATCGTTAAAACAATATTTGTAACCATTATTCTGTATAATTTCTATTCTTGTTTATTTAATTTAGTGTTTTGGCAATATTTTATTTTTATTTCTAAATAAC